TGAACCGCGACTTACAAATAGAGCTCTAGTGTCCCATTGAAAAGTTTCCAACTAAATTACCTGATTGACACTTATAAATGTATAATTTCACCCGTCAACGTCGATCCGTCGTCCTTCAATGAAGCCATATGGACCGCGAAAGAACGCAACCTTTCCTGCCCTCCTTGCTTGATAAATTTGAGGCCAAAGCTTTCGTCTGTCTTCCAAATCCTCTCGAGGAAGCATCTCCGCGAAACGAACTCCTTCCGTCTTGCAAATAGGAGAATTTTTGCTTCGACGCCAGATTTCATCCTTCACCCGTCTTTGAGTGAACAGCACGATGACATTCCTGTTTTTATTGTCTATCCTTCTTCCCAGCCTATGGACAATGTCAACAGCCTCTTCCATCTTTCCCTCCATCTCAGGTGCAAACTTGCTTAGAATCTGAATAACATGTGATCTGATATCTTCATCTTTTTTTTCTTCAATGCCTTTGATATGAAGACACCATCTCATTCTATATCTTTCCTGTTCTCTCACTCTCTCCTTTAGATCATCGTTATCCTTGCGAAGAAGCTCATTTTGAATCTCCAAGTCCTTGACTCTTTTCTTGCACTCATTTACCTCTTCTGTGTTGAACTGAATCGCCTTTGTTAAGCTTGCAATCATGGCGCTGCTTTGCTTAGTTTGCTCGCTTAAATCCGCCAGCTTCTCATCCACCCTCCTTTCAAGTTTTAAAATTGCCTCCAAAATGGTTTCATTGGAGATTTCCGCCTTCTCACTGTCAGCTGTAGGCTTGACCTTTTTTTCCGCAGGATTTTTACTTGGCGTTGCAGGAAGAGAGGCCTCACCGCGTCCTCTTTTGCTGTTTACAGAGACCTCCATTGCGTAGTCGTGCTCCGTTTCTCTGGTCTCAACTTTCTTTTCAATATTAGGCGACAGATCTTTTCCTTTGGGGTCTAGTTTTAGTTTAGCAGGTTTAATTAGTTTTTGTGAAGTCATCGCGTGACAAATCAGTTGGAGTTACTTACTTCAGACACACTTTTGGGAACAACTATAACGAGCTTCAGAAAACACGACTGCTCAACTCGCCATCTTCGTACCGCCCCTACCAGAACACATCTTTATCTTGATTTGGCTCTGAAATGTTCTCATTGCTGAAATGGTACTTTTAATGCACACATACATGTAAATAAATAAATAAAGGAGCAAATAGCTAACTAACTAAATAAATACATACATTAATGCATCATGATTGCTTAATAGGCTGTGCACCATTAGGCTGACTATATGAGCCAAAACTGAATTTCGAGCTGGTGTGTTAAGAAAGAAAATTACTGTGTATTCAGTGCATGTATCCTGCTCATCATCCTCCTACTCATCAGGCCATACCAGTTTGTAATCTTGATGTTGCTGAATGAAGGCCTAGTATCTGCACTTCTGCATGCATAATTTCACCCGACTACTGATCGGGAGGATTCCAGAATTATTATTATTATTTTACTAAAATGAGTTATAATAATATTTTTTCCCTTTAACATGTATTTTAAGATAAAAATTATGCACAATTTATCACCTGCAATTCCATCGTGTAACCACAAGATGGCTGTATAGCCTTATATATAAACATATCTATGCTGTGTTTTCCCTGGTTGCTGGGTTTTTATTCAGACATAATTAGTCACTTTTTGTCAAAGTTGAGTTCATGTTGATTTAGTATCAGTTTTTCATTAGTCAAATCTTTATATCAAATCTAGTGTGTGTGTGTTCATTCTGTTGGCACCTACTAAAAATGTCAGGTCAGGTATATTATCCATTTGATATTGACATTGATATTTTTACATTTATTTCCAGAGAGACATTATTGAGTTTACAGGCTGTAGTGGTCTTGCTGTTGTAAACACTACTTTTGCTGTTGTAGAAATGTAAAAATGTTTTTGTCATATTTAAAATATAATTATATTTTAGTCCTGTTCTGAATTTTTTTATTTGTATAAATTGATAATTAATAGAATGAGAAAATCAGTATAAGCCTTACCCAGTGTTGTGATAATTATTTTTAAGGCACTCTAAGTTTTTAAAAAATAAATACTGTAATAATAATTATAGTTTAGTCAAATAACATAAAAAGACCAGACCCCTCGACGCCTGTGAAACTTCTCCCTCAAAACAGCAAGCTAACGTTACTTCTACAGGCTACACACAACGATGTTATAAACAACATATCTGCATGCTCTCTTCACATCGTTCTTGTAAAATAATAAGTAAATAAACATCAAAATCACTTTGCTGAAAATGAAACACCACATACCAGGTGCTGAGGTGTTGGATATCCTCTGGTAGTGCGTGCGAAATTAAAAAATGCGCGTGCGGCGTGATGAATCGTCTCGGTCAGATGAGGCCATCATCAGGTGAAAGGTCATGATTTGGATCATTTTATTTACGGCTAAATTATTATTCATTAATTTTACTAATATGTAATTGGGCATAGGCAGGCATCCACAACATGGCGGCCTTTAATTACAAAAAAAAGGAGAGGAAATTTTGCTTTGACAAAAGGGCACTTTGGGCACCAAGGGGCAGGTGCTCAAGCACCCAAAGATGCCACCATCAAAAGATCATTCGTCTGCCCCCCAGGCGCCCAGGTCCTGCCAACAAACGAAAGAAAAAGACATTAAAGAAAAAGCAAAGAAAACAAAAATACAATTAAATAAAAAAAGGAAATTAATACAATTCCAAGGAGGAGCCAACCACTTGGTCCCAACCCAGTCGTCGCAAATCAAAACCCAAAGAAAATAACAAAAGACACTGTATAGACTCAAATTAAATGAAGAATCACTAAACAATGGTCAAATAAATTCGGCAGTGTAACTCAACCGAATTTGAGTTACAAATGTACACTGTTTTGATGAAAGCAACCCACTAAACACAATGATGTCCAAAAGACGTCTTTTCAACGTCTTTGTCACAAAAGTCGGACGTTGAAAAGACGTCCACTGAGGAGCCAGAATGAAAGTTTTTATGACGTCTTTTTTTGACGGTTTCTGCACGTCCGATATAGACGTTCATGGACCCTCTTCCTACAAGGTTAAAAACTAGTTCAAATGTGGCCATTGTGGACATATTTTTTACATAATTTATGGTCTCATTTAGACATAATTACTTTGACTATTGCTGTCAGATGATCTTAGTGAGAATTAGCAGAGGTTTAGATGTTGAAATTTGTTTCATTTGAAGTGTCACCATTGTGGTGATCAGTGTTTGCTTTAGTTGGGCTCTTGGTCCCCTTTATTTTTACTTGTAAATAAACACATTAGTGGACATTCTAGCTTTAACATTAAAGCATTAACATTTGTGTGTGGAAATCAGTAACAGTGGAGGTAACCAATCAATGCAGGTTTAAATTGATCAGAGCACTGAGACTATCACCTTATGTCTTTATGTAATGCCTGGCCATTAAGCGGTGAAGAGTCTGGCTGATTGGATTAGGATATTTAATTATTTGAATCGCACTGTTATGCTGACGAATATCAGGGTTGGGGAATTTCCCCTCTTTGTAACTCCTCCCCCTTTAAAGATATAAACACTGTGTTTTTAGCTATTGAGTCAGACTTGGATGGTGACTACAGCGATGCTACAGCAATAAAGAACTCTGCTTATAAGATAGTCTTCTGGTCTCCTGGTCTTCGCTTCTGACTTTTTCTACACTTTAGAAGGAAAAGGTTTACAACACCTTCTTTCTCAAGCTTGCAGATTAGAGATGCGCGGTTGGCGGTTATAGCCGCGGATAAACCGCGGATCGGGCGGATGACGTGACGAAAAAAAATATTTTAATTAAATTCGGGCGGGTGGCGGGCGGTTTCTAGTCTCGAGGCTGTCATCAGCAGCGCCTTGTATAAGCGGATGGCGGGCGGGAAAATTGGTGAAAAACGTTGGTGAGGATGGATGGCGGACGGATGATGAGTTTTGTGATGCGGTTGCGGATGAAATAATAGCCCATCCGCACATCTCTATTGCAGATGTTGCACCTTAAAGCAAGCACAGTCAGTATATTAATGCTGGATCAGTTCTATTAGGTTAATAAAATAGATGAAAACACAATAAGGTTTGTCTGCCTACAACTTAAGTTTACAGATTGCCATTCTAATAGAAAACAGACTGTACAAAAAGATAAAAACCTCTCTGAAATAACAGGATGTGAGTGGGTGCGAACCCACGACCCACAGAGACTTGCCTTACAAGGCGGTAACGTTAGCAGTGAGCTAAAGCACCGCTCTCAGTTTCAGCAACATTCAGTGTGGAAGCTCATCCTTGTGCTGGGTTGGATTAATGTGGTCTGTTCTTGTTCTTTACTGATTGGGTGATAACAGTTCAAATTTGTTGGCTTTGGAAAATACAGGGTGGAGATCATTTTAATTTTATTACGCGTCATTGGGGACACTGTGCCCCGTAAAAAGCGGCGTTACATAAGCATATAGAGCGTTGTTTTTTTCGCCACCTCCACACAATTACACGGCGCTTTTTACGGCGTTTCGCTTTTTGCTAGCGTAAAAAGCGGCGTCCTGGCTGTTCAAATGGTGTTCAAATGGCGCATTGTGAGGCTTTTAGCGTTCCATATATTTCACAAGTAAAATACACGTGAAATACGTGTTAAATTTGCGTTAACATTCACGTGTTTTTGGCCCTCTTGGCCTTCCATACGCATCACATCAGATGATAAGCTGAGAATCTCTTCATCAAGTCAACACGCAAACTACCGCAAATAAAACTGAAAGTAAAGCCCAACACAGAATTGAGTCATAAAAACAGAATTTACTGTATAATGTGGGGATTTAATGGCTCATGTTCTCGGAACTCGGAATAACAATGTTTTTGACTTCACTAGGGCACATAAACAGCAGTGAAGTAACTCTCATTGACCAGCTGCTTTACAGACACTCCTGTTTTACACTCGTCACTCAAACACACAAGCAGGAAACCACCTTAACTCCTCAGTTCAGAGAAACTGAAGTATTGTTGAGCTGTTGTGTGTTTGTGTCTTACATGCGGTAAAATGGCAGAAGCCAGAATATCTCAGGATGAGTTCATGTGTCCAGTGTGTCTGGATCTCCTGAAGGATCCAGTGACTCTCCACTGTGGACACAGTTACTGTAAGATCTGTATTACAGACTGCTGGGATCAGAAGAGAGTCTACAACTGCCCTCAGTGCAGACAGACCTTCAGTCCAAGACCTGCTTTAGGGAAAAACACCATTCTGGCTGAAGTGGTGGAGAAACTGAAGAAGCGTAAACGTCCTGCTGACTGTTACGCTGGAGCTGGAGACGTGGAGTGTGACGTCTGTACTGGAAGAAAATACAAAGCCGAAAAGTCCTGTCTGGTGTGTCAGGAATCTTACTGTCAAACTCATTTTGACCATCATGAGGAATATCACTCTCGTAAACCACACAAAGTGATTGATGCCACTGGACGACTGCAGGACATGATCTGCCGTAAACATGATAAAGAGCTAGAAATGTTCTGTATTACTGATCAACAGTGCATCTGTGTGTGGTGTAAAGAGTATGAACATAAAAACCACAACACTGTATCAACTGCAGCACAGAGGACAGAGAAACAGGTATGAGCTGAGAGAGATTGATCACGCAGAAATGAAAGTGTCTTTATTTACTCACTCATTTACTCATGTTGGTCCAAACCGGTTTGACTGAGTTTCTTATGTGGGATGTAAAAGATGTTATTTTGAAAAATGTCTCATATTTTTGTCAATAAATTGAAAGTCAGTGAGGTACAAAAGTTTCAAGCTCCAAAAAAAAAAAAAAAAAAAAAGTAATCTAAACGACTAGTGGTTAAAAAAAGAAGTACACTTAAGTGTATTGACATGCACTTGTACTGAACTTCAAATTAAAAGTATATTTAAAAAAAAAACTGCACTTGCAGATAATATAATATTAAATTAAATGAAAGGCCACTTAAGTGCACTTAAAGGGAGCAAATTCCATAACTGTTTCATAAGTACGCTTTATATAATAAAATTAAAGTTTTATTTTAAAGTACATTTTAATATTTAATAATTATGAAATTACATTGTATACTTAAATACTATTTAAAGGAGCATTGCGTAGCTTTTTACTTAAAAAAATCTTTAAGATAGAGTTTTCATTTGTACATTTATGAGCCAACCATATTGTAATAGAAAGAATGACACCTTAATGTCCACCACGGTTGCCTCTATCAGCCTGTAGGCACAATTGTGTGTGGAGGAGTCGGGTCCGATTTGGCGGAAAAATTCACAAAATGTGACGTCATGCGCGTTCTCGTCTACTTGGGCTTACATCCGGCCATTAGTAAGCAGCGGCAAATCCGACAATCGCTAGCAGTATCGTGAATCAAATGGACTCTGTGGACGGAAAGAAGCGACCAGCCTCCAGTACAATCCAGACACCCACGGCAACTTCTCGTAAGTTTAAAAAAAAAAAGCCTCATCTAGTGCGGCCAAGATAGAGAGTGACCGGCGTCGGGCAAAGACAAGAGTCAACATTGCAGCGGCTTTTGATTCTTGGATTCTTGGAGGGAGCTCCGGTCAGCGCTGGGTATAAAAACAGACCCCGAGCTGGCTTTCTTTTTACTGCAAAGGTAAGACATAGTTACAGGCCATTTTGCAATGTATTATTTTATTGTTTTTGTGGTTTTTGTTTTTATTGTTAACGAGTGTGCGCACCTAGAACGAGCATGAGACTGGCTGCAGTTTCTCTAACGGCCACTGGTGTCAGTAACGGTCAGAAATGTCAGAACCTACGCAATGCTCCTTTAAGTCACTCTTAAATTTAAATGTAAACTATAATAAATTTTTCTATTTAATAGCAATTAACGTGCAATTACGTGTCTGAAAACGTTACGTTCAGTTCACACTTATTTCACCATTATATTAGTATATGATTATCAAAATAAGTACACTTTTTAAAAAGGCATAAGTTTGATTCACAAATGAAATCAAATCATTGATGAACGTGGAGCCCAAATCAAATATGATGACATCAAAAACATCAAACTTCACTGGTGTTTGTGTCATGACATCATGATGTTGAGTCATGTGACTGTGACGTGGAAGAACCAATGAGGTTTGATGTTATTGTCGTGTCACCATATTTGATTTTGCCTCTGTAAACCGCTGAGACATTCTTCAAAATATCTTCTGTTGTGTCTCACAATAGAGAGAAAGTCATACAGGTTTGGAACAACATGAGGGAGAGTAAATGATGACAGAATTAAAACTTTAGGCTGAAGTATTCATATAAAACTGGGCACTGATGAAATAATGTTGACATTTCAGTTGTCATTTGCTGTCATTGGTTTGTCCTCCAGAAACAGCTGAAGGAGACACAGATGAAGATCCGTCAGAGAATCCAGCAGAGACAGAAAGATCTTCAGCATCTGAGAGAGGCTGTGAAGTCTCATAAGGTGAGTCTGGAGAAGAAGAGAAGTTTGAGACGTCTCAGTTTGGACTCTGTCAGTCCTGCTAAAGCAAATGTGTGATTGTGATGTGTGTGTAACAGCGCTCTGCACAGACAGCAGTGGAGGACAGTGAGAAGATCTTCACTGAGATCATCCGCTCCATTGAGAGAAGCCGCTCTGAGGCGACACAGCGGATCAGAGATCAGGAAAAGACTGCAGTGAGTCGAGCTGAAGGACGACTGGAGCGACTGGAGCAGGAGATCAATGATCTGAGGAGGAGAGACGCTGAGCTGGAGCAGCTTTCACACACACAAGATCACATCCAGTTCCTGCAGGTAACAGAGATCTAGGAGAACAGGATCATAGTGGACTTGAGCAAGATCTGTCATTACGAAACATTTCATGAGAGCAGAATGAGCCGTTGACTGAGATGTTGTCAGGAATTCAGTCAGATTCAGTCGAGTGTTGTGTTATCATATAATCATCAGTCAGACGCTCATCTGATCATCTTCTGTTTAAAGAGATGCACTTACAAAGCCCTGGGACATTCACCATTAAATATTAACTAATTTTTCCTTCTGGTTTCTTCTGTCTTGATGAAATCAGTGAACTTGATGATATCAATATCCAGCCAACTAGATTTTTTCATCCTCTTTTTAATCAAATCTTTTATTTCTACTAAAATATTTTTACTAATTGGCACCAAAATTGGGTCAGGTGATCTTCAAAGTTGATAATATTGATTTTTATTTCCATAACTGTTTACCTGTAAAACTTTGATGAATTTGTCCACAAAGACTCCAGACAGGAAGTGAGGCTGTATATTAGCAATGCTTATAAAAGCCAAACAAAACCTGACCTTGGGATCCTTAAGAGTCCTTGTGAACTTTCAGTGTCACTAACAGCCAAAAGTTACATATGATAGTCAATCTACTCGTAGCCTTTGAGCTGCTTTTCCTTAAATCTTCTCAACATGCAGATGTTTTATCATCCAAACACCTGGAAAGTTCACACATAGTCCCTCGTGAAAAAGAAGTACAAATATAGCTGCGAGCAGCGATTACGGGCCCAAGCCGGTGGCACCGCAACCCCGGTGCCTTTAGTTACCTAAAGGCACCGGGGTGGCGGTACCACCGGCTTTGGCCCTTCATCGCTGCTCGCAGCTATATTTATATATATATATATATATATATATATATATATATATATATATATATATATATATATATATATATATATATAAAGCCGGTGGCACCGCCACCCTGGTGCCTTTAGGGTTATTGTGCACGACGTGCAAAAACGTAACCCTGCTTTGACTGTCGAAAAGAAGTGTGCTGTAGAGCTTGTATCAGTGTGGGCTCTGCAAAAGTGTGCATTGAGGGCACATATCAACCACAAAGTATGCGAGAGCAACCTTCTGAAAGGTCAGGTCTACATCCAGGTCTACATCTGCCGTGTGTTTACATCATAGTAGTGAAGTTTGAAGCAATCAGGTGATTTCAAAGCTTTTTGAAAGTGACAGACTTCCTGCTGCCAGTTGGTGGCGCTATAACCGGGGTGGCGGTGCCGCCGGCTTTGGCCCTTTCATCGCTGCTCGCAGCTATATTTATATATATACACACACAAACACACACACACAAACACACACATATATATATATATATATATATATATATACATAAATATATATATATTGTTTTTTTAAGAGACAAGACAGAATATTACTTGCCTGATCTGATTAGAAAAATAGTGTTTGTGTGTGTGTGTGTGTGTGTGTGTGTGTGTGTGTGTGTGTGTGTGTGTGTGTGTGTGTGTGTGTTTGTGTGTGTGTGTGTGTGTGTGTGTGGCGTAATTGAACAATGTAGACATAAAAACATACTCCGTCCTTTTGTTCATACAGGACATTATTCAAACTGCAAAGTGTTTACTTATATTTGTGTACACTTGCAATAAAACACAACATTGTGCTTTTGTCAAGCTATAAACTCTTGTCAAACTGTAAACTACAACTGTCACCCAACCAAAATCTCTTACACACACACACACACACACAGTTTAAAAGCAAAAAATATCAAACAATCCTATTTAAAAACAGTCTGTGGGAGCCATCTTTTGGACATTCATCATATCGCATTGGTTTTCATTTCTTGTCATCAAACAGAGCCCTAATCTGTTTATTTTTTCAGTTACACATTCTACATTGATTAAAAAAGAAAAATCAAATGTGTTTTTATTTTATACAGAAATAAATAATCTATCATTCAGATGAGAATAAAGTTAGTGTTAGTTCAAATTTTAAGGAAAACAAATATATGATCTGAAATATAGCACATTCATTTAAAATTCATTCAGGTTCAATTACCAAACATACAATCTTAATGTAATTTAAAGCAAACAATACATTTAAAATATATGGGTTGTATGACTATTTTTTAATATAAAAAGATATATATCCAAAAAGACAAGGCCTAAAGTTTAACAAGGGTTAAACTCTTATCACTGTAACAGACACAATCACACACACAATCACACACACACACACACAAGTCAAATCACTTACATTTTACATGCAATATTGACTTTTTTTCTGTTTCAGCAGCGAAAATAGTTAAACAAAGATCACAGCAGAACCATCGCGCATCTCACAGCAACGCGTTCTCATTACTGAATGATTCAGCATTTTGAACGAATCGGTTGACTCAAAGATTCAATGACCAATCAATCCATAAACATCTATCTCATTCATGAATGACTCAGTCGTTCAAACGAATGAATCAATGACTCGCTCATTAAGACGGTCGCCTGGCGACACCTAATGACGGTTTAGTGTTATGTTTAAAAGTATCATTCTTTCCAACGATTGTTAATTAACTCATATTTGAAACATAAGCTATATTTATATATATACATACATATACACACACATACACAAAAATAAAATAAAAACACATTTGAAACGTGTTTGCTTACTAAATTGTGAGCTGAACGAAAGTTGCAGCAAATATCAGCAACAGGAGTCAAATTTCATTAATCACGAGAGTGAAGAGCTGACTGAAAAGATGATGATGGAATAGGCTATTTTATGTAAAAACGCCTATTTAAGCGAATCTGTCATTGTACTCTTTTATTGTTGTGTTTTCCGTGAAAAATAATAGACTATTGAACTCACAATTCAAGCAATCGGCCCCCGAAATTGCACTAATTTTAGTGACACTAAAAAGTATGCGGCTGCACTGGCATTCATAATGGTGCGCGTCCATGGCGACGAGCGAGCAGAACAGAGCGAACGTTTAGTTAATTTCTACTTCCATAGGAATTCATTCGAGCGCCACCATTTCAATGTCTGTGCGGACGTCCATATTATACTTTCGCTTTCAAGTTAGTGTTTTTAAACCCCCCAGCGGGAGGTTTACACAATTGGTTTACACAATCACACGTTGATTAACCGGTGGGAAAATATTCCCATAGTAACATCCCTAATATATAAATATTTATAAATTCAATAGGCCTACCTGATTTTGAACACAAGAGGGCAGTATAGCACTATATATGATTTGGATTATTATTATTTTTGACTAAACAACCATTCTGGCTGTTTTTAAACTTAAAAATAATTCTTAAATTGAAAAAAAGGAATAAAATGGGTTTAGTTCTAATATTTGTATAATTTTATATAAAAATAAATGGTGTATAATTACATTTTAGAAAGATATGAGACATGCCCTGATTCTTTTTTTGACATTACTTGAATCCCTCAACCATAGCAAAACCGTTTGAGATATTCAATATCTGTTCACAATTTAGCATCTTCAATGTATTTTCATCATGTTGAAAAAGTTTGGCATGAATAAAATAAACTACTTAGGAGGAGTAGCTAAAAACTCAGAATCTGAAATCCACATTCAAACCAAAATATCTGACTTCCTGTTGGTCGTAGCTAATTACGGTAAATTAGAAAGTTGTCCGGCTCGAAGAGTACAATATACATATCGAGTTTTGTTACTGTAGATAAAACTAACCCCCCCACTTTTGTCAAAAGCATTTAGAAAGTGACACACTTCCTGCTGCCAGTTGGTGGCGCTATAACTTTGACTCACAATAGTCACATCCATGTGATCGGCCTCTTACAGCGATCACACTGCTGAAGTTTCATCAAGATCAGTTAATGTATGCAGAAGTTATAACGCACTTCTTGTTTGTTGTTTCTCGCCATAAATTCGTTTCCTCGCCACGGCCAAACCGTTCGAGATATCAAAAATCCCCTCGCAAACTTTCATCCTCAATGTCTTGACTTCATGCTGACCGAGTTTCGTGCCGTTTGTTTGAATTCTCTAGGAGGAGTATTTCACATTCCATTGCGTGTGTTTTACCAACAACCCTAAATAGCCGACTTCCTGTTGGGCTGGGGTAAAAAGTAAGAGTGTGAAGTATATATGAAACGAGGAGATCTACATGTGTACCGAGTTTCATATTATTACATGCAAGCGTGTTTGATTTATGGACCATGTTTTCGGACCCTGTTCCAGGGGGCGCTGTCGAGCCCCCCTGCCACGCCCGGGTACCATCTTCAGCCCGGCCCTGATGGCCGCGGGTTCTGACATGTGTGCAAAGTTTCAGGAGTTTTTGAGCATGTTAAGGCCTCCAAAAGTGTCCAAAAGGTAGCAGAAAAATAATAATAATAATAATAATAATAAATATAGCTGCGAGCAGCGATTACGGGCCCAAGCCGGTGGCACCGCAACCCCGGTGCCTTTAGTTACCTAAAGGCACCGGGGTGGCGGTACCACCGGCTTTGGCCCTTCATCGCTGCTCGCAGCTATATTTATATATATATATATATATATATATATATATATATATAAAGCCGGTGGCACCGCCACCCTGGTGCCTTTAGGGTTATTGTGCACGACGTGCAAAAACGTAACCCTGCTTTGACTGTCGAAAAGAAGTGTGCTGTAGAGCTTGTATCAGTGTGGGCTCTGCAAAAGTGTGCATTGAGGGCACATATCAACCACAAAGTATGCGAGAGCAACCTTCTGAAAGGTCAGGTCTACATCCAGGTCTACATCTGCCGTGTGTTTACATCATAGTAGTGAAGTTTGAAGCAATCAGGTGATTTCAAAGCTTTTTGAAAGTGACAGAATTCCTGCTGCCAGTTGGTGGCGCTATAACCGGGGTGGCGGTGCCGCCGGCTTTGGCCCTTTCATCGCTGCTCGCAGCTATATTTATATATATACACACACAAACACACACACACACACACACACACACATATATATATATATATATATATATATATACATAAATATATATATATTGTTTTTTTAAGAGACAAGACAGAATATTACTTGCCTGATCTGATTAGAAAAATAGTGTTTGTGTGTGTGTGTGTGTGTGTGTGTGTGTGTGTGTGTGTGTGTGTTTGTGTGTGTGTGTGTGTGTGTGGCGTAATTGAACAATGTAGACATAAAAACATACTCCTTCCTTTTGTTCATACAGGACATTATTCAAACTGCAAAGT